ACCAGCAGTAATGCAGGCTCCGGGCCTCGTTCAGGCCGCGCCTGCCGTTTTTAATCAACCTTATTATAGACCAGTGACTACCGTTCGACCCATAAGGCCTCCGCCCACCCAGGGATACACGAATGTAAGTAAATATATATATATGTATATATATGAAAAAGAAAGTCGTTATAACATTGTCTTGTCTGAGTGCAGGTGATATCGTATTGTATTAGTATACTTGAATCAGAGCCAAACGATATATTAATTATTATTATTGTAGTAGTAGTATTATCATCGTCTTCAGGTACAACCTTGAACTTGTGCCATAAAAAAGTCAAGGACCTCGTGAGCCCAATCATAAAACAAGTTTTGCCTAACTTTATATATACTTTTTCCTAAAATTTGAAAATTTTTTTTTTTCATGCTGATCTTTCATACTACAAATACATTTATACAATTTTTGATGACTGAGACCCATAAATACAGTTTTTTCCCGTTATCTAATTACTGCCAATTAAAACTTTATTATTATTATTATTATTATTATTATTATTATTATTATTATTATTATTATTATCTTATATATTTTAAACTCATTGAAATTTAATAAATTTTTATTTATTTATTTATTGGCACATATTGGGGGTTGTCGTTTTTAAATTTATAGATTTCTATTATCTATCTTGGTTACTTTGTTCGGTTTAGTTCAGTTTTTTTTCTTTTTTACCAAATTAAAATGTAAATCGTTCAAGTTTATAAAAAAAAAAAAAAAAGTTAATTAATTGTAAAAAAAGAGAGAGAGAGAAAGAGAAAGAGAGAGAGAGAGAGAGAGAGAGAGAGAGAGAAATAAATAGACTGGATAGAACGTGGAATTGTTGATTTTTAAAAAATTGTTAAAAATAGTTTATAAACCCGTTCGTGTAATTAATTAATAATTTTTCTATTTATCAATTCAACATGGCGGTGGAATTATAATAATTAATTAGAAATAATAATTTAAAAAAAATTTTTTTTTTTTTTTTTTTTATATCCAGTAAATAAATAAATTATAAAAATTAAATGAATTTGCAACGGTAAAAAACTGAAAGAAAAAAAAATTGGAATTATAAGTTCGTTTGTTCTAAAAACGCGAACCTCAAAAAATTATTATTATTATTATTATTATTATGGCAGAAAGTTGAAAATGATTTAAATAAAAAATAAATAAATAAATAAATGTCTTTGAATTTTTTTTGTTGAAAAAGTAGAATAGAATAAGCCACCGAGGCAATTTTGTTTTCATTGTACGTTTAAAATGGCGAGTTTTTTTTAATTGACTGTTTTTTTAACCAATTAAATAAGCTAGATGATGATGATGATGATGATGATGATGATGATGATGATGATGGTAATGATTGTAGTGAGCGGTCAATGAATGGAGACTGAAAGAGATACCGAAAATCAAAAACGATAAATTATTGAGATTTCAATATATATATGTGTGTGTGTGTGCGTGTATGTGTGCATGTGGGTGCGTGCGCGGTTGCGTATGTGTATATGTATACAAAGTGCATTCGTATATAGAGTATATGTTTGCGTGTGTGTTTGCTTCTTTAGGGATTCGGGGCGTCGGCATTGTCATGATGTCACGTGACAACTTTTTCAATCGATATCATTTTCACTACTAACTGAAGTTGTAAAGTTTTTGATTTCAGTTTTCCCCATTTCGCTATTTCCCGTTTTCCCTTTTTCTTTTTTTCTTTTTTTCTTTTTATTTTTTTAAATAAATAAATTATCATTATTACTTATTTTATTGAAATTAATTATAATTATTGATAAATATTCAGTTTAAAAAAAAAAACGAGCATAATTTGATTTTGTTTATTATTAATCTCAAATAATTATTGATTCATAATTAACTTATGCGTTTTCACTCATATCGATAATAATAATAATAATAATTAAAAATACTCCCGATATTTATTTCACGAAAGTTCACGTGCGTGTGAACTTATTATTATTAATATTATTAAATTTTAAATTTTAAATATGTGCATTTGTTGTTTTTGTAATTTTTTAGATTATCATATCATATTATTATGTTTTTATGTTGCATAAAAATAGTTTTTTTTTTTTTTTTTTTTATTATGGTGGTAGCCGTGGTGACGATACGAATTTGAGGAGTTATCATTATTATCATTATTATTAAATATGAGTTTAATATAAAATAACGTGTAGAACAGTTGTAAGAGTACCTTACTATAATAGGTATTTTAAATTTATTGAAAAATGACACATTTGGGTATTACATTTTAATTGATCGTATGAAATTAAGGTGTCGCTAGGTACGATCTGCGTACAATAAGTATTTACATTTAAACGAGTGAACTCCACCCACATTGTCTACAGCTGATTGGGAACCGGCTTGTGTGACGTCACTACAAATTAAAAAGTTACTACGTTAAGTCTGTGAGAGTCTCGTTTGAGGAAAAAAAATTCACGTTTGAACTATTTTTTTTTTTTTTTTTTTTTTTTT